CGCTTTTTTTTGTTTTGCTTTACTTTAATCTCTTGCAAGTTTCTTATTGTTCTTGATATTGTTTTGCGGCCTTCAGCCTTTTCAAAACTATGCCACCACTTTTTCGCCGAGTAAAAGAAAAAAAAATTGATATATTCAGCCCTTGGACGCCACCACATATAATTCGACATATATAATCGTTTGAATTCCGCCATTTTGGGTGGCAAATGTTTAAATGAAGCAGAATGAAATGTTTACTAACTGTAAACGCCCCCAATTTATCGCTTTATTTACCAGTTGATTAATACGAATTGAGAAAGGAAGTTTTTGGAATATTCAGACAGTTGTTTCCTTTATTTATGCAACCAAAATCGCATGATTCACATGATTTCTTAGCATAACGTGATACTCCCGCAAGGCCTGAATATGGTTAGAATAATCTGACCACAGTAACAGTAACAAATGGCTTTATTAGCATGACTTCACATACAAGTATTGCTAAAGCTTATTAGTTAATTATAAATATTTACAAATGCAAAATGTTTTGTGGTAATATAACACTGTGAGTAATACAAGAAATAAAAATGAAGTTATTGATATAAAGAAAGGCATAGTTAACAAATGAATACTCTATTTACAGTATATATGTAATTGAAGAAGTTTGGGAGTTAGTTCGATAGCCTATTGACTGTCAGCATTCCGAGCTTCAAGGCGTTTAGACCACAATAGGCTTAGTTCACCCCCCCACACACACACACACGCATCCAAACACACTCCGTGGTCACTGAATGATCCCAGACAGTTGTCGACTACTTAGTACATGTGTCTTTCATTTCTGCAGTAGTTTAATAAAAATTTTCCTCCTTTAAACTTTGATTCTATCACCATACTGCGCAAGGGATCACTTGGCTAGACCTGAAATCCTTCAACAGTAGTTCAATCAAGGAGCTGCCCAAAAATCCAAATATTTACCCATATGTACCTTAGAGTGACATCACCTTAGTATATACATGAACTTGTGGTTAGAGCTCGACAACTGGCCTCTGTAGCTCAGTTGGTTAGACCGCTGCACCGGAATCGCAGGCCCGCAGGTTCGATTCCTGCCTGTTCGACATGCCCAAAAATCCTGATACTTCGTTTCTATAATAGCATGAAGGTAACCTCATCACAAGCCTATCAGTATCGCTAAGCTTAATGTGCGAAAATGAAAATGGAATCATTAGGGCAAGAGTGGTCTATTATGTCGCAGCATATGAAATATTCAAACATGCTTCGGTTATTCCACTTTCGGACGCTTGCACGAGTCCGGAACGCGTTCCCAGTTTTGCGCGAGCCAAATTTGACGTGATGACTGGACATCAAATTGATTTTGTATTCAGTAATTGCAATCTAAACACATATTTTGGAATATAAATAGACGCACAACAGCCGTCCAATTCTAATGAGTGAACTCGCAAGTCACAGTTAAACAACAATCGAAGGAACTTATCAAATAACTTACCAGTGTTATCGTACGATTTGTTTATAGAAATTTATTTTGTTTTCCGCATTTTAATTAAATTTTTCATTAAACCGACTTGTTTTGACTGTTGTGAAAGGTGGGTATGACATGTGTGTTACACTGATATATCGGCTAACAAAATTAAATTAATGTAAAAAAATTAGAGTGTTAATATATACTTTTCGTGAGAGCAAATGAGCTGTTGAATCAGTCCAACTAAGTGTTAATATCTCCAACACATGCATATAGTCTCAGTTAATCAATCTCAAATTCAATAAGGGGCGGACCATTAGAAATCCTGGGAGGGGGGGGGGGGTGAAAATTCCCCCAAAAAAATTCGTGCAAAGGAAAATGCCTGGAAAAAAATTCGTGCAGCCATTACGTCAGAGAAAAAAACATTGTGCAAGCAAACAGCGACGTACAAATAGTCTTGAAAAAAAATCCGTGCAGAGGTTAAATGCATTAAAAAAAAATTCCTGCAGAGACACGAGACTGAAAAAAAAATTCGTGCCGCAAAAGTTTTATACCCCCCCTCCCGGGATTTCTAATGGTCCGCCCCTAATTTGACCGACATTAGTAGTATTTTACTACTACACAGGGACGGCGGAACAGGGGGGGGCTAGGGGGGCTAAAGCCCCCCAGAAGTAAAAGTGGGGGGGGCTTAGCCCCCCAGAAAATTTGAATTTTTTGGAAAAAATTTTGATAATTAGGGAAAAATTTAGGTTATTTTTTGAAAATTTAGGTATAAGGGGACAAATTTGCAATATTTTGTTTAAAAAAAGTGTATTTCCGAAAAAAATTTTTGATATAAGTCCGAAAAAATTTTTTTCGTCCCACAGTCACATTGCGATAAGTCGCATGTTTCGCTATTAATATATTCTTTTTGTTTTTGAACGAGTAAGAATGATTGATTATATCACTGCATATAATATTAAACAGCAATCAGTCTCACTAAGCGGCTTATTGTACGATGGAACTTCGAAGAAACGGGCACAAAAGTCAAAAACAACGTTAACACCCGATGCACAAGAAAAATGCTTGTGTTGAAGAAAGGTTCATCCCCTCCCCCATCCCAAAAACAAAGCTCCGGTCCCTCATTAGTTTCCGGATGAAACAAATTTGGCTTAATTGATTTCCAAAAATACACGCATTATTCCTCTAATTTTTTGAGCATGCAGATTAATTAGGCTTCAGACATTTGTATAAATAATATAATGCTGTATCCGTTGACCTTGCAGTTCCTGCAGTTCCTTGAATTTTCTGGTGTATAGGTTTGATAACATCGGTATATAGTCAGGGGCCCACAAAACATACTGTTCTAGTTTCCAGTCCTCTCATGCGAAAAAGCGTTGAAATATAAATAGAAGGCGCTTGGTCTAGGCGGCACTTTTTCCCGAAGGTATATCAGACAATATCAAGTATAAAAGAAACAAAAAATAAGCTCCTTAATTTTTGCGCCACTGAATAAAAGTATTGTTTCGATCACCGCCAGAGTTGTTCAGTGCCGTGCTTGCAGGAGACAATCGAATTTCATGACTCACGCTCTCGTCCAATGAGATTCAAAAATTCATGATCTTTGACACTTTGTATACAGTAAAAAAGATTATTCAGTTTAAACACATCTGACAGACCTGTCAAGTATATACACTGTAAAGTTCAGTATCGTTTTTATCTAAAATTTTAGGTGTTTCATAAATAAAAAAAGTCGACTCGTATCATAGCTGTATGTACTAATCAATTCTTGGACTTATCGATGGCTATAAGTATAGCAAATTATTTGATATTTTTAAGCACGTTATAAAATATTCATGAATCGGTGCAGACCGCGGCAAAACCATGCAACGCTAATTTATAATGTAATTCTCGACTTTTATCATAAAATGACTAAACGGTGTGGCGCAGTCGTAAAATTTAATTGATGCACTATAATGTACGAAAATCACAACAGAGAATGACGAGTATCTCGACGAGTATAACGTATATCATGTTAGGACAAATATTATATAAATTATGGAGTGGATTATATAGCTACAGTTTGTCTTTTTACTGAAGCTATTAAACTAACTAAAATCTAGGTAAAGTTGACAGATAAATTTTGTGAGTTTTTTAAAGTTTGCATGCCATTATTGCATTGACTCTCAAATAACGGAACAGAAAAAGTCCGATATCTATACTCATGTGAACATTTTCGTGCATTTACAAGGCCGGCAACCGGCGCGCAATATTGATTAGCCAACGTGTCATTCCTGCCGAAAACCGACTGATTATAAACCCAAAAAGTATAGTTATATGATAGAGAATGTTGTTATGTAAAATTAACACTTTCCGATATTAAACTGCTTGCGGTTTTCGTTCGATATTCGATGATATTGCCATTATTAAATATTGGCTACGAATACAATTACATTTTATTTTACAGCCTTATCATTATTTTTTAATAGCATAATTGCCAACCATATTAAACTATAACAGAGAATATCTTGGAAAAATATTTGTAAAATTATTTTTGGTATAGCTAAGTATACAACTATAAAAAATAACTTACCGCGTTGAAACTGCTCGTTTCTTCATGACATCCTGTCTCACTGATGGGATTTCGATCAAGATTCATGCAACTGCAACAGCAACATCAAAAATTAAATATCAGCTGCAAGTGACAAGACAGCTTTCTTTGTGCTCATAAGTTTTCCTATATAAAGTTATGACAACTCATATAAAGTTGTCTAGAAGCTGTATTTGTTGATATTTACATACAGCGAAACAAGTATGGCGGGTCTTTTATTTCATTGTATAAATTTCAGTGGCTAATACAAGGCGTGCGCTAGCTCTTTGTTGAAATTTAATTTTGTTTAACTTGCATAAGGGTTTCGTGTTTGTTTTGTAGCCCGCCTGCATTATTTGATTTTATAATTATTCCTGCATCACTCTCTTCAGTTATTTCGTTATTTCCACTCAATTTCAAACGGACCCGGCAGAGAACAGTCTTGACGCGAGTGCTCGTTGCGATTCGTCGCTGGAACAGCTCGACGAGCTCGCCAGTTTTCGTATGCAGGCCAGCAAACTTGATCCATCCTAGTTTTCAAGTTAGTGACGTGAAAACATCATTAGATAGCTTGCTTTCCATCGTTCATAATTTATTATCACTTGCTTAGGTGGCGCAATATTCAGAGCAAGCGCCTTTCAACTGTGAAATCCACGTGGGACTGATTGTCGTGCGAAAAGAGACAGCGAACACCTCACATGCAGGGAATGTCGACAGGTTCTGACTTCTGACCGTTGTTGTGCTCCGTGCTCAGACATGAGATATACGGTGGCAGGTGGCTGCCAGAGGCGCCCTCGTAGAAGGTATCTCAGTCTTTTAAATCGATTTACCTTGTCTTTTAAATCGATTTACCTTGTCATTATTGATGATCAGCTAAAATGGAATGCACATATAGATAATGTCGTCACCCGAAGGTGTCAAAGGCCATAGGCATGATTCGAAGAATGAAAAATTTTGTACCCCACATTAATTTCAGTTTATTTAACAATTATTCGCCGAAGGCGAGGTGATTATCGGGGAATAAAAACCGAGACGAAGTCGAGGTTTTTATTCACGATAATCACCGAGCCTGAGGTGAATAATTGTTTTAGTATAATTTCATAGGTGATTATTTGGAAAAAAATAAGAAAATACACATTTCTTCGTCATTTAATTGACAAAAAGGCTTTGGCCGCCATTTTGAAAATCGCTTAGGTGATTATCGCGTAATAATCACCTCAACGGCAACCAATCAGCGTGGAGAATTTTCAATAATCACCTAGCCTTGTTTGGGCTGACATTGGTAATGTTTACTCGCTTGAAAAGCTACAGAAAATGCAAAACATCGGGCTGCAAGAGTCATTACTGGTAGGTCGTACGAAGTTAGGTCCGAGACTATTTTACAGGAATTAGGCTGGCAGCCACTGATAAAGAATTGGAAAGAGAATAAGGCAGTTTTTATGTACAAAGCCAAAAATGGCAAATACTTGACAACAATTACTGATATTTTTAATGTGAAAAATAATGAAAATCATAATTTACGCAATAACGATTGTGACTTTTCGATAAAAAAGCCTAAAACTAATTTTCTTAAAAAACGTATCGGCTACTCGGGAGTAAAGATTTGGAATGAACTGCCAACAGAACTTAAACATAATGGTATATCATTTAACAAGATTTAAAGCGCTGTTCCGAGACAGACAAACGTAGATTGTTAAACTTTTTAATGTTTTATTATAAGGGTGGGTGGGAGGACAGAGTGAAGGAAGGGGGGGATTATTCGTGTGTCATATTTATATATACAGTATATATTTGTATATTTTCATTATTTTCTTCCTCTATTATTAATCAACGGCCCCTTGAAAATCAGCTACAAGGAACTGTACATAAACTTGCTGAAGGGCTACCGTTGTATATGTGTGTAAATAAGATTAAATAATAATAATAATAATAATAATAATAATAATAATAACAGGCGACCACTGGAGACGGCACATTTGCGACCATGCATGTTATATCAGTGAATTTATAAGACCTGCTTTGATAATTTTGTAATCACGGTACGTAACAAGATAAAGCCTAAAGGGGACTAAACTAAAGCCAATGTGACTATGTCTCGAACACAGAAACGAGTTTCTATAGCCATGGCCAAGTACTTGCCGGAAGGGTATATTCAGCTTAGCTCTCAGCTGCGGTCGAGTCATGATGATACTTACCAATTTTATTTGTACTTGGCCTGGCTTGGGTATCTACATCCAGGGACGCCGGAACTGGGGGGGCAGAGGGGGGCGGCTGCCCCCCTTGCCTTTTGGGGCAGGGGGGGCAGGGGGGGGCAGAAGTGCCCTTTTAGTTGTAAAATAATACGTGATAAATCACATTTCCAACGATGCTTTTTGTAGGAAAATCACGAGATTCAGGTAATTTATAGTTTATATTTATAAAAATTTTTGGAAATGTTTGGAATTTAGAAAAATATTTTGAAGAAATGGCGAAAATTTAAGATATCCGGAAAAATTTTTGGCTTCTCGGAAAATTTTTGTATGTCCGGAAAAATTTTTGACCCCTAAAATGGTACACTGACCGAAATTTTTTTGGCGACGGGGGGGGAAGTCGCCAAAAAATTTTGCAGTGAAAAAAAATTTTTCAGTAAAGGTGCCCTTGGTGTGCGTCCGCCCCCCTTTGCCCTATTATCGTTCCGGCGTCCCTGTCTACATCTCGGATATCTATCTATCTATCTCGTCTTGGGTATCTACGCCGACGTCAAAGATGACCTGAAAATTGTTTCTATTTCCATTCTTCAGTTCTTGAGACTTTCACATGCATAATCATAAAAGAGTTGTTCCATGGCTCGAGGTATCTATCATTACTCGCGGTCATCTGTCACTTGCTTTCCGTCTCGGTCAGATCTTCCACCATGGACCAGTGCGAAAATATCGATAGTACTTTTTCTGATTGAAACATTGAAACTCAAAAGCATAAACTTAAACAGTGTGAAAAGTTTGTATCGCGCAACCGAGATATCGGCGCGCAATTTTGATGTTTTCTATTAATCTATATACTGTATTTACTATTAAATTTTCGAAATCTCGGTTGCGCAATTTCCAAACTTTCCAGTCAGAATTTATTTAATAAATTAAAACTTTTAATCTTTCAAATAGTTAATATCGGGCCCTCTTCAATATAGTATTCCCCGCTTTCCTCGTCAATTGGAATAGCACCCATGATAGGAAGTCGCAGTCCTCGTTTCGTTGTGAATTGTATAAATTGTTGTCATACTCATTTTGTGGTTGATATTGATATCCCACGGCAAACTATTGAAAATACCCGACCACTCATATGTGATTTTCATTATGATTATTCCGTAAATTATTATTAGTCTTATTACTGAACAACTCCGGACTGATCTGAAAACTGAGTTCAACTTGACACGGCCACAATTTCCCGGGCATTGCGGGTATAACTGGCGCATTACTCAAGGGCACAAAATAGAAATAGGCAGAAGCTTCACTCGAGTCGGAACCTTTGAAGTTTTTGTGCCGGCACATGTTACTTCCGGATCTTGGCCGCCATGTTGAAAGCAACCAAGCAACCAACCACAGATTAAGAGGACTTAATCTCTTAATTAAGAGGACTTAATCTCTAGACCTCTTAATCTGTGAACCAACTCTGGTCCAAAACATTATAAACTAATATGGCGAAACTTGTATTTCATAACTTTAAATGGGTATATCGTCGTTATTTTATGGTGGATGTCATTGAAATTTTCAGGACGTACTAAAGAAAGGTAGATTATTCATTTTGATTATTCATTTTATTATAATAAAAGCTTATTGAATGATGCTAAAATTGTCATTTTAAACGCATTGCAAACTGTATGTGCTGTTTTGGCACCGCGCGATTATCAATGAACGTATCATTGTGGGGAAAGGGTTTATTTGTTTTTCTGAGTGTAGTTTGAAACTATTGCAACTACTATTCCACTTAACTTGAAGAAAAATGCGTCATGTCTTGTTTTTAGAACGCAGTAGGTTGAATTTTTTTAATTTTAGGCGCATATTATACTGTGAATATCCTTATAATTCGTACTACTACTCGTACTAAATTATATACCTGATCAGTAAAAGGGGATGTGATGTCTTTGTATTGGGCTTCTTTTCTTAATTAACAAAAACGTTTTTGGACTAAACTAAGTAAACTGCGCGAGTAGAATCCATTTTCACCAGAACTGGTTTATAATTTGTAACTTTGATATTAAACTTTGATTGCTGGTGACAGTAATGCCCCTATCAATGTTAAGCCCCAGGGGGGGGGGGGGGTCGGGCATAGGTGGGGCATTTGATTTTTTGAGCAAATTTTCAATCAAATGCCCCACCGTCGGGCAATAAATATTGGTCAAATGCCTCACTATTTTGCAATAAATTGCAATAAATACTATATTAATAAAGGTTAATTGGTTCAAATTGCCCCAACTTGGGGCCAAAATGCTGATCAAGATCCTTAGGGTGGGGATGCAATTGATGATCAAATACCCCACATATGCCCCCCCCCCTCTGGGGGTTAACATTGATAGGTGCATAATGAGTACGGTATTTGTTCACATCTGTATCAAGCAATTGATGGTGGAGCAGACTAACTTGCCAGAAGTTACAGTTCATGACCCAAAATTGCAACACACCAATCTCATGTAGATTTACTCAGCAAGCACCATCTTAATTAATGATTTCACCTGTTTCAATTACCATCAGCATTGTTAGGTTTACCATCTTAGTGAAGGAGCAAGACTAATTAGGCTCCAAAATAATAAAATATTGCACATTCAAACTGTGTAGCTCAGTCTGGAATGCATTGGTCTTGTACACCAGGGGTTGTGGGCTGCATTCTTACTGTGGTCAAGTTGATTTTTCAGCTTGCCTGGTATAGATTTACTCAGTGTAGCAACATCTTAGTAATTATTTAACACCAGCCTTGTATTTTACAGTTCAGTTCTTATGTACTTTGGTGTAAAAGATTTTAAGCAATATAACTTGTAGAATTTATATTGCTTGATTGTTTTGGCAACACAGCATATTGTCCAGTGTATATGGTTAAAGATGTGCTACCTTCAAATATTTTCTGTTCTTCTTTTTAGTGTTGGAAAGTTCACAATTGGCAAATTTCAAGCTGTAGTAAATGCACAACCTCAAAAACAATTTTTGTATCTTTCTTGATGTAGTCCAGAAAGCAATTTGTTGGAACATGAAGACCTTCAAATGTGTTTTCTGTTTGATCAAAGGCCTTGACGAAACAAAACTGCTTCCTGTTATCATCTAGGTCATTACATTGGATGGCATTTGTGCATGTAGGACAGTTGCAGATCTTAATAGATTTATGGATCTACACTCAAATTTATGGAACTAAATTATATGGATTTATGGAACTAAAATCAAATTAAATATGGATTGATAATATGGATAAAAAATATGGATTTATGGAACTAAAATCAAATCAAAGTGTTGTTTACATTTTTGGAGTTGTACAACTTGTACTCAGTAGAATACACTAGATGTTAAAGTTTCATTTACTTGGTTCCCTTTGTAAAAACAACACTACAACTTACATGCACCAACATCCGATTTGTTGCAAGTTGAAACCAGTTTTATTGCCTGATATATTTTACTCTGCCAACAAGTCTTAATAACTAAGGGGCTATTTACATGAGCCCGACTAGTCCTGTTAACCGAGGCACCCAGCTTAATACAAATCATTTAACAAGAATCTGCCTAGCCGAGATCTCACTTCAGTCAAATGGGATGCCCGGATAACCGGGCTGAAATTTCTCCATGTAAAGTCACCAGCTCAGGTAACCTCCTGGCTAGCCAGGCCTTCAGCCTGGTTAACCGGGCCAGCCTGCATGGCTAGCCGGGCTCATGTAAACAGCCCCTAAGGTGATAGCAACAATAATATACTTGGTGCTAAATGTAACATAAACTTGAGTAACAGAGAAAATTCTCATATTCAGATTATTTTCCCCTCATTGTAGAGTAAACTGTTAATATGTATCTTAAAAACTAGAGTGTATATTAGAATCTCACAGATTTATAATTTAAACTGTCGTTAAGATAAATCAGGTCTCTTATTGTCTGTTTTGTAAATGAAGTTCCCTGATTCATCCAAGCATTGATCTTTAAACTATTTTTCCAATATCAATGAACAGTCATGATAATGTCATAGGAGGCCTTGTCACTTGTGATACCAAATTTGTAAAGCCACAGCCAAAGGATTTCAATAGGATTTCAATAAGTAGGTCCAGCAATTTCTTTCATATCGCAATATTATTTTATATTAAACGATTGTAGGCCAATATGCCAAGTTGAATTACACTGTATTGAATAGGTGATCCCAGATTCACAGAAGGTTCGATGAACTCGATTTATTTCCTTCATTGTTCATGGCATTCACGTCCTTAATCCTTTTGTACACCATGAAATATCACCAACCTATCACTCAAAACATATTTTACGGCGATCGGACTAACCACACATAAGCTATATAACTTTATATGTTTATCACTATTCGCCAAAGACCGAGGTGAAATTAATCTATGTATGACAATGGCCAAATTCCACGCTTAAATTCGTTTCTCATCCTCATAGTAACAATTAAATCAAAGAACAACCTCTTCTTTATGATATTTCAAAGTATCATGAGTTTTGCTTGGATACATAAAAAGCTAGAGCACTTTTAGTGGCTCTATTTCGTATTCCGCCATATTAACTCCTATAAAATTTCCTCTGGTTTGGTTGCTTTCAACATGGCGTCCACGCCGGAAGTCGGCTGACATTCTGGCACACTTTTTACCCTTGAGTGAACCTTCTGCTCTATATCTATTCTGTGTCAAGGGTCTGGGATTGAGTATTAGCTCAACATACTTCTCCAGTTTTTAAAGCTTTTTAAAAGTTTCTATGATTTGATTTGTTGAATTTTCATCTCTTTCGATCAGTTATTAACCATAGAAGTTATTTAAAACAAGAAAAAAAAATAAAGAGCTATTTGAGTAACACAGAAAGGTGGAAGTATAAAAGTGGTGCCGTGACCAGGATTCGAACCTGGGTTATTGCGGCCACAACGCAATGTACTAACCACTATACGATCACGGCATTCGGTGAAAAGAAATGCGAAAAACTAGAATATATTGAGAATATTGCTGAATAGAAGTAGAAGCTGATTTTAGAAATTAAAATTTATATAATATCGGATAAATTTTAATTTAAATTTTGTATTTGAATTTCAAATACAAAATGGTCGCTGAAGTCTGAAGGCAACAATGGAAGTCAAAAGAAGTGAACTTCACAATGGGTATTAGTACCAATTCCTTTATTTTAAAACTAAATAAAGAGCAAAAATAAAAGCTAATGTGCCTGGAGTATAGCATGGACAGATAGAACCGGCATTATTTTAGTTTATACATATATTTTTATATTTTCATGTTTATATATATGTCGATTTCAGTATTTACTCGTAAAATATATGGATATTAGTACTAATTCCTTTATTTTAAAACCAGATAAAGATAAAAATAAAAGCCAATATGCCTAGAGTATAGCATGGATAGGTAGAACTGGCATTATTTTAGTTCATATTTTTCATGTTTTATATATTTCCGTTTGAGTTACATTTTAAAATTCAAATATATCGTTGAACGGTCATTGACCTTGGCATAGGAATAGAATTCGAAACCATTTAATATTATTCATTAATTCTAGTCACGTTTTGTCTTTAGGACGAAGTTATTGTCTGTTATTGACCGTCTGTCATGTCAAAATGAAGACAATTATAGATTAATACCACAGGTAAAAAAATACAAAGTGATGTTGTAAACTTTATAAAACAACGGTAACTCCGAAAATAAACATTTTGATATTCTAGCTTTCGACTATTCATTCATCATCAGTTGATGATGACTGACTCTTAGTCGAAAGCTAGAATATTAAAATGTTTATTTTCAGAGTTACTGTTGTTTTATATTATATTAAAATACTCAGTGGTTCCCGTAATTGTTGTAAACTTTACTTATGCACATATCAACGGCCTGCCCGGGGGGTACACCCCCGGGACAACCGGGGGGAAACGAGGGGGAATTTGGTATTTTATCCGTGTATTCTGCCCGTGAACCCCGGGGAAATTACAAACTTCGCAATAATAGGACGACGGGGGAGGGGAAGTAGGGGACTTTGACGTGACAATTGGAATTTTATAAATGAAGTGAACAATTGGTGCGAACTCAAAATCGCAGGCTCACGGAGAAAAATATCGATCGCCAACTTATTATTTATGATATTTTGTAGTGGTCTTGCTAAAATTTGAATAAATAAATACAGAATACATGAGTGAGTGCCATTGTGATACCCCAGTTTGTATGATAATTTCAGGGTGTTAGCCAGAAAATTTTTTTGGACCGATCAAAGTCCTTGTGTAGGAATAAATAGTGTTTTTTCCAACGTGTTTCTTCTTAGATGCAAACAACAGTGGCTTCGTTTTTTCTATTTCATTTCCGGTGAATGAACACGGATGCACACCGATGGCACTTTGTTTTGTACATTTCATTTCAGTGAATACACACCCAATATGAATGAAACACGATACATTTTGAGAAAATAGTTAATGGAAAAAGTAAATAAAACATTCTTTCATATAATAATATAATATAAAATCAAATGCAATGCACTTTCTCATCAGAAAAAATGAAAATCTTCCAGTAGACCCAGTTGGGAAAGCCCCTTAACTACTTCAATTGGGAAGAGTCCGTCAAACGGACAGTATATGGGCTAGCTAACACCCTGAATTTTTAATTGTTTGTATGCTATTTATATTATGAACTACTTTATTCTAAGCCCCAGGGGGAGGGCAGTTTGACTTACACGTTTCCCGGGGGAGGGAGGGGGAATTAATGCATTAGAATCATGTTTTTTCAAAGTCCCGGGGGTGTACCCCCAGGGCAGGCCGTTGATATGTGCATTACAATGTATAAAAACACACTATGACTGAAGTATTGAAGAATGTGTTTTATATAATAGCTACAGTGAAGCACGCAATTTGATTGGTCAATAGCCGTGCAGGATCAGGCTATCCTGCACAAGGAATTAAAATGTCTTCGCGGGATTCTCAAAATGTCATTGTTTCACTGTAGTTTATATTTTATAAAACAATTACCAAATGGTTTTCCAAGCAGGATAGCGTGATCCATGCACTTGGGATGCTGCTCGACTTTCGGAAAGCATAAAAATACATTCGCCTGTGGCTCGAGTATTTTTACGCTTCTCGCGACATCCCATGTGCATGGATCATGCAATCCTGCACAGAAAACCATTCAGTATTACTTGTACTAGTACTTAGCTGTATTATCAAGTGTATTTATGGGTAAACCATGATAGAAAGTTCATCTGTCACTTGTAACTTGAGCGTATATTAGAACCCATTGCTGCATAATTAATGGCTTGACAAGTGGCAGATTATGACATTGAATGCCAAGTTTATTGACATCACCTCCAATGAACGCTATGAGGTCAAATCCAATAATGGGCCTTCGCTCGAAACACCAATTTTTCTCCTTGTATCTTTCGGGTTGTTGCATCTCTACCAACCGAAGTTTTGTTACACACAGATACTACTAGTTCAGTTTACTCAGCAATGCACTTCACTTAAAAATGCTGTCTGCCATTAGACTAGAAAGTTTGGAAATTGCACACCTGATATTTCAAAAATTCAATAGTAAATATTAATAGAGAGCTCCAATATGTCAGTTGTACATTACAACCTTTCCATACTTGAAAGTGCATTTTGGCACATCAGTTAGTTTGGTTAAAAGGTGGCAATGTGCCTTGATATGCTCTACTTGAGTATTTTACTCTGTCTAATCCCAGATGATTTCACATGTCAAGGGGAGGGTGCTACCACACATTGAGCTGCAATGTGCCTATTAAAATGCATGCAACTTCATATTTTACTCTGTCTAACACCAGATGATTGTCAAGGGGAGAGTGAACTTGTATATTAATGGATTTAAAAAACCTGTTAATGCCCAACACTTTTCATTGTTGAGTAAAATAAAGGTATTTTCCTTTTTAACTAAGGTACATGCAGATGCGTTGCAGCTTTAATGGGTTAAGATATTGTGTATTCATAAGAAACCAGACATGAATTAATTTGTTTGTTCAATCATGAAGGAAAAATAATTCATCCATGCGCCACCCACCTCCTCCCCCTCCCCCCTGTGGATATTCTATTTTATAGTAAAGATTCTATAAAGTTAACATTGAAATTTCTTAGTTATTATCATTATAACATAACATTGAGGCTCTAATGTTAAATATCATGCTATGTTGAAAACAAAAGTACCTGGGTTGTATTCCAAACAAATAATTTTACAATATTTCATTTAGCCACGATGTATTACCCTTGTGTGGCCGACTTTGTTATAATTGTAATGTATGAAAGCCAGACAATTTTAGTTGATGAAGTGATTTTCAAGAATACGGTTCACTTGCAAACCTATGAAAAGGCAGTGTAGGTAGATAGAGACGATAGGCAGAACTTCAAACGGTAGGGAGAACTTCAACGTTTTGAGCGAATTAAGGCCCTTTTTTGGGAAGCTAGTCATCCCGATGAATGGCCTTTGATCGATATCCTTACACACTGCAGCTACTTGCAAACCTATATAATTCATGGTTATGCTATTCATTCACAACCGGGGGGGTGCGCACTTGGTTTGCAATTTTTCCTCATTGTCTCATAGATGTCACTGATGACACGATTTTTGAGTACCACTTAGAAAAATCATTCATGAGTGACTTATTTATAGACTGGTTCTCCTAACTTTGCTTTGTATTGTGCTCTCTAGGGTATTGCAAGCAAGAACAAAGATGACAAATCTGATAACGTGAGGTGAGAAAACAAGTGTTTTTGTTTTTAGACAGTAAAGTAACAGTTACATGTATAGGAAGGTACAGAAGGATTATTCATATTACATGATATATATGTAAATATACAGAATCACAGCGCGTTCATATAATATTATGCACAATACAAGCTAGGACATGTAATGCACTCCCTACTTTGGATAAGATGGTCTATGTTGCAATCTTGTTTCGTGTTTGTACTGTGTTCTGTTGTTTTGTATTTGTTCTGTAACAGGCTCACGCTGTGTTAGTGTTCCTGAGGCTGAGCCGTTTTCCTGTTAGTACTTTCCTTGTTTATATTCGTGTTAACGACCTAAGTAGTAATACATATTAAATAAAACCAAATGTAGCCCTAGCCCGTCGTGAGAAAGTTTGGAAAATTAATCTACTGTATTTGTTGAAATTGGCAAAACTGATCCGTGATGTTGTAATGTTTTGATGGATAATGGGAACTGTATGGTGTTAAAATGGTTTAAATTTTAAATACCCCCAATAGTTGCTGAAATAACTTAATATTTTAATGTCCGTGCGCAATATGAGTGTATGCTAGCCTTGTATTTGGTTGCAAAGCATAGAACAACCACAAGCATTATTGTTGGCAAGCGTAACTAGAACCGTGATTTTTCTATTCAAGGTAATTGACATGTGCACGCCCTGGTCATTAGAAACACGCCCAAGATCTAAAATCCTAGCTAAGACCCTGTCAGACATGTTTACTTGACATGGTATAGTGTTGTGTGCTAGTGTAGTCGACCATGCAGATTATATTGCCTATCTGCACCCAAATCTTCGCCCAAATCTGCACCCAAATCTGCCTTACTTTGTTGTACAGTGGAATCGCATTAATACGGTCAAGGACGGGTCGAAAAATTTGGGGTAGTTTTTATACGGAAAGTACCGTGTTTCTTGGCGTTTTTCTGGGACTTGTAATAAAGAGGTAACCGTAGTGTAATGTTAAGCAGAGTTCCATTGTATTTCTGTCTGTCTATATCTGGGTTTCAGTCACGTGATACGTTTTAATAGCGCTTGGTGGTCAACTCCAAATGGAAACACATTTATCAGATCGAGTTAAATATTCATTATAAGTATTGATCTTGTGTTTGGTACATCAAATATATGCAATTTAACGAAATTTACTTGCTTCCACACGGCGTATAAAGCGGCAATATGTGAAGGTGACCACCAAGCGTTTCCCTATTGTGTAAGTCTTGAGTGAAACCCACCTATTGCCAAACAGATAGCTGCGGTGTGAGAGAAATAGAACTATCTGAAAAATATATAACCGGAACTTCGATGTTTCAAGCGAAGGCCCTTGTCGGGAAGTTAGTGGAGTGAATCAGGTTTATGAAGCAGTTTACTTTTCAACAGGAAATTGTTCGGAATTATTACTAATAACCGGTTGAATATGAACTGTTTAATATTACAGTATTAAAAAGTATAATATTTCCTGTTTATGTTCTAAACGTTAGCTTTTATGTTTTATTTTTGTAATATACAGGACAAGAAGAAAACAGAAGATGAATTTCAAACACCAAAAAAAATTCCCAGAGAAAGGTGTATTGAAATTAAAAGAAAATGCCTTGGGGGAGTTTTATGAAGTTATCAATTTGAATGAATACCCATATGTCTCATATCAAACAAATAAAGGAGGTTTGCCGATCCCAGCTGATTTCCAATTGACATTAAAACCAGGCATCCCAAAGGGAGTAAAACCTTCAATGTGTTTTTGCAAACCACCAACCAAAAGAAAAAGCAAAAATGAAAATGTAAACCAAAAATATGGTTCAGGATTCAATTCAGAGATTCAATCAAAAGAAATTTCATGTATCGAAGGAAACAGTAAAAATGATAATGTTGCCCAAAAAGATTATTCACAATTTTATTTAGACATTTTATCAAAGGAAGGCTCTCGTTCATCTGTAATTCAATACGCCTCGTGTTCATCAAATAATAACCAAAACGAAGATAAGCAAGTATGCCATGATAAACAATTAAATGATAATCAGAAACGGGCTAATGATAAACAAATTGATAATAAACAAACAGATGGTAAGCAAAATAATTATGAACATATAAATGGTAAACAAACACAAAATGCTCAAACAGACGTTAAACAAATTGGTGATAAACAAATTAATGATAAACAAAACAGTGGTAAACAAAAAGATGAGACACAGCACGTACATGATGAACAAATCGATGATGGAAAAATAGATGATCAAATAGAAATAGACCAGCAGAATGTCTCAGATGGTGAACAAAGGAACGAAAAAACGAATCAACAACAAGATCAAAATCACGCAACAAAGCATTCATCACTTTGTGGTGTATGTCTTCAGGAATTTCCCTCAATTTTAAGTTTAGAGCAACATCGAGAAAAAAACGGTCATTACCTTTGCAGTGAATGTGGCGAGGCTTTGAAAGATGATGCAGCATTTAGGGAGCATACAGATAAGAAATTGTGCAAGAAAGCCGTCTGTATATTTTGTGACCAGAAATTTGTCACCCGTGATGAGCTGGAAAATCACAAAGCAACAGTACACCACAAATGCCTTGAATGCAACAAACTATACAACAGTGCAGGTAAGTGAAGTTCATTTTAATAGAAAGCAAGCATGTACAGTAGGATAAGTGCCCACCAGGTATATATAGACCGAATTTGGGGGATTTTATTCACTACAGATTTACTCCATGCATGCACAAAAAGTCCAGATTGATGAGAGGTCCATTAAATCATATCAGAATTTCATTCTCCAAGGCGGTCTTTGGAGTTGACGTTATACTGTAGTTTCCTGTTACTGGATCATTGTAAGAGCTATGAAACCTTTTTTAATGTTGTCAGAATTAATATGGAAATGTTTCTTTTCTCTTTCAGAAAAATTGTTGGCACACAACGAACGACACCACGGTGCTCCATATACCTGCCTACAATGTGGTGAGGAATTTCCAACTCATGCTTTGTGCAAGAAGCATGCGATGACTAGACATAAAAAGAAGAAATATCATTGTCCTGAATGTGGACGTGGTTTTACGAGAATGAATCTTTTAACCAGGCACGCCACCTATACTCATAGCGATGAGAGAAATTTTCAATGTGAGGTAAACGCCTATACCTCAAAACACTTTGACTCTTTGTAATATGTTTGTCTAGTTTACACAGTGAACTTAGTCCTCAGCAATGACCACATAGTAATGCTTGAATGTGTTCGACTCAAATCACTTCAGATTATTGCCTAGTTTATACATTTGGATATACTGTAGACAAAATATTATAATATTTTAAATGTGTTTGACTCGAAATCACTACAGTGAATACAGACAACATATAGTATAATTTTCTAAATGTGTTCCACGGGGGTTCGGTGGAGGTAGGTAGTATTTTCCAATAAGCTTCTGTAGTTTGGGTCAGAGTTTAAGAAGTAAAACGTTTCAATTATACTTCTTTGCCTAGATTTGCTCAAAGACATTCAAACGTCCAGATGCCCTAAAGACTCACATGATTACGCATTCAGACAGCAAACCGTTCCATTGTGGAAAATGTGGAAAACAGTTCAGCCAGAAAATCTGCTACACCAAACATCTTCCTTGCAAGCAGCGAAAGAACAAAACCAAATCAAAGAAAGTTGCACCACCAACTATGGTAGACGACCTGGACAAATTCGATGGAGAACCAAGGACTTTGGTAGATCATTTAGACAAGTTGTGCGAAAATAATCTTATTGAAATGTTCGAAAATGCGAGTTCTGCAAGCCTTGGTGGCGCTATGAAGGAGAGTGATATGAATCCAATTAGTGAAGAAATGTATATGGGTTGTTGTTGTCCGCCCACTTGTAGATGCAAGCAATTTTCCATTGGTTTAAAAGTGCAAATGGAAGAGCCAAAGGGCCCTACACTTGACTCTTCCGAGGAGGTTGCTTCACTGCCGTGCTGTTGTGATATTGGGCTTGACATTACTATTTCCGATTAATGAATATATATGCAAGAGGACACTGATATCTACTTAGTCTTGGACGCCAGCCATTTGACTTGTGAATGAGCGGATGCATGCATTTTGTTATTGATATAAGCCGGTTACAGACGAGCAAGTTTTGTATGACATGCATGCGGTTGCCGTCAGTGATCTATTGTTGTAGCAGCTAATAATAGCAAACGTGGCGGTCCAAAACGTATGACTTGTCACGGGAAATTTGTTGCACGTACACACACCGGTGACGCACGTGCAATTAGCAAATAAAACTTGTCATATGAAAATGAAAAGTATCACTCATACGCTGATATACGCTGACATGCGCTATAGGCCTAGGAGTACGTTAGGCATAGGTTGTATACGTTTGAGGGTTTCAAGCACGGTGGCATACGGCGAGGCCCGGCGAGACAGAAGCATTTTTTTAACATACTTAACAATTTTGTGCGTATTTGGACGTACGTTTATACGATAAGCATACTCTAGGCACACGCTGAATATGCTAGAGGTACGCCAGATGTACGGTACTGGCATTTCAAGGGATTTTTGTAATTTTGTGCGTATGAAAATTATTTCATTAATTTTCATACCTTTCTCTCGTACGCAATAGTGTGACAGGGCCTTTACCGCCTTTTCGGAACCCAAACCGCAAGCGTCCACGTTAAATTTTATGGCGACTAGCAAGCATGTGCTAGTGGGTTTCACTGTCACTAGCGAAAAGTGCAAAGTCGCTAGGAAAATTTCTAATTCCATATGTAACCATAATTATTCAATTTACCCTAATTTTAATCCATAAACGCAAACGTTTGTTAGTGAAATGTTATTTAATACCAAAGGCTAAAATTTTGTTGAGTTATAGGTTGGAGGCTAGCCCAAATTGAAATATTGGAAATTGTAAATATTTAATATTCGAAATTAGTAGAAGTATGATAATACTAATAGAAGTTCCTGTTGAAGTATGTCTTGATTCTTATGTTTGAGCTATATTTTTTGACCTGGCTAACATATATTAATATAACACTAATTGAAGGAAGGACGACTGAGGCTCAGCACTTGAAAGCAGCTAATATTGCTGCGGCGAAAATTGATATAATTCGGAAATGGCCCTTTATAAAGTAAGGGCTTTTTTCCAGAGCGTCAGCTTTTGAGTGAGGGGCATTGTATGATGTATGGCCAATGACGAAGGTTTTGGATGCTAATGAAGGAGACAAAAATAGAAAGAATAAAATCAGTTCTCGAATTATATCGAAAATGTGGAATGTGAAGGTCAAGGTAAATTACTGAGGCATACATACACTTCAACCTTGACGCAGTTTCACCCCTTCCCTTCTTTGAAGACCCATTCTAAAACGACTGGACTGAAATCAGGCAACAAGAATAATGATGCAGACATATGCGGACCTCCAATTATGCATCCCGCCCTTCCAAACTTTTAAGCCCTCCCCCCCCCGGGAAATTGTACTGCACGCCCGATGCTTTTGCGAACGTGAAAGTATGGAACCAATATATTCCCTCTACATGACGTAATTTATTGTCGCTGAAATGTTAACTGTCCAAATTGAAATGGCGGCTCAATTTTAGGTCCCAGATCACAGATTCCTCGTTGCTCGGCCTTCTTTTTCCTCTTCGAAATATACGTGTTACGATATATCATGTAAGTTTTTAATCCATTTAAAATTCGTTATTTTTCGCGTCCATCCATCGTTCCTACGCGTCCGAAATTGAAAAGTTATACCTAAAGATGTGTTTTATAGTTTTATTTTGTTTCTCTTTCAAAATAGTAAGGAGTTCCGCAAGAAATTATGTCAGACGCGGAAGGGTAAGTGTTGTATATAATGCGCACGAGTTTAATGCAACTATACTGGACAGTTTCACGTAACGATATAATAGCTGGGAAAATAGAATAGTAATCTAATACAAACCTGGCCTTAGGAAAGTTGAATATTACAAGGAAGCCTCTTAGCTGATCAGGTCCTGATCAACCTACCCCAACCGAAAAGCCAGCTGGGTTTGTGGCTGCCGGGTGGTCATGTAAGTTGGTTAATCCTCCAAACTTTGGTGCATTGGCTGGTCAGCTGTCAGAGTTGATCGATTGATTTATATTATGGATTTATATTGTGGACTGAGTGCATATTGTACCGATCAATTCGAAACTTCGTCATCCCCCCCCCGGGCTAGCCTGCGAACAGGCTCACTGGGAGAAAGGTGAGCCTGCACGGAACCATGCGTTTTATTAAATCATCCCCTTTTCGCATCTGCTAAACGCGGACCAATCAGCGTCGACTGCGATAAATAAACTGTCAAATTGACGCAAGGCGTGTACATTGTGCAACGAAGAAATATAATGTATATATGAACAATAATACGAAGCATTAGCTGGCCGCACAATATATATATTACTCGGGAATATAGAATTCTCCAGATAATAGATATCAATAAACATACAAATATAAAGCCGAATAAAATACTACCATTGGCATTGAATGTACAGTAATACTTGTACTATGTGCGACTGAAAGAACAATGTTCTGAATATTTGAAGCTATTACTAAAATACGGTCAGATAGATTGGGATTTGGAATACCGAATACATCTAAAATTTTACTAACTGTGGTCTAAATAAATGATAAATGAGCATTTATTTATTAATTTCTTCGAAATCACGAGAGTGTGCCAATAGTGGAAGCCGTATCGACGACGAAATTGTCAGCAGTTTATACAGTAAATAGTACAACGTTTAATGTACGATATATATTTATATCTAAATGACATGCCAGGGAGGATCAACAATATAATTATTCGTACATATTTGGGTATCTTTTGTATGCCTTCGCTTGCTGACTTGCTCACTAGTGAGAATAATCCGTGAAGCCACGACGACCTCAAAATGTACTATACTATAGTATGATGTCAATCCGAAGACGAAGTTCAGAATACTATTATAGTTTCGTGTATTGGATTTAAGCGATAGATTCAAGTCATTTATGATAGACGTTTTTGCTGTGATGCTTTGCTTTTCCTTTAGTTTCCATTTCTAGTTTTCTTTTGTTCGATAGTCTTATAATATAAAAGTTCAAAATGCTGTTGTTGACATTTGCTATTTTTAGTAATTTTGTCAACGAGTGTAAGCCAATCAGAAGCCTGCGTTTTTATACGAACGCCACTACCAAGAAAACCTATAGTTCCGTGCAGTCCCTCCTTTTCTTCGCGCCGCCCGTAACCCAGGAGGGCCTGTTTGCAGGCTACCCCCGGGCATACCCCGGGAATTTGACTTCAAGTCTTCTCCAGGAAGTAGGGAATTTGACGTTCTAGATCTTCCATGTGGTGGGGCATTTGATAACGGGGTGGGGAATTTGAACTGGAAGTCTTAAAATTTTGCCCGTTTTTACGTGCTTCCTGCATGCACAGAAATACTTCACATTGGTGGCAAATACAGTTTTCTCAGATTTCGAGGGAAACAGCCTCAAATATTTTGTGAAAAACTGGCTCAAAGAAACGGTCATGGAAAATCTATGTGCTTCATTTGAAGGTATGTACTACATAATTGTGTAAAACTGTTAAATTTCCACAAGATATCCAAACTTTTTACGTGAATTTCGTTATCTTGTCAAAAAACATTTCCGTATATTTTGTACTTTTTGTATTGGGTCATTCCAGAAAAGATCCATACCCCCCTACGGAGGAAATCGAAAATAACCCCCTCCCCCCCTTCGGACATCCTTGAATGGTTCATCCTCCCCCCCCTCTCCGGACATCCAAGCCCAAAATTACCCCCCTCCCCTTCGGACATCCACTATTTCTAAATTTTTCTAAAGGCTACCTCGCCGTTTGAAAACGTCAAATTAGACTACGTTCACACTACGCGCGAGCGAACTAATGCGGGCAGAATTTACGTGTGTTCATACTACCGCCATTACAGTTTGTTTACAAATTGAATTAGCACTCGTGTAAACCCAAAATATTTCAAATAGACCCAAGAAATTTAACTGAAAAGCATTCGAGTTTACACGTTTGTGTTCACACGAAGCTATCAAGCGCTCCGCCGTTTTCACCTCGCTCCGTTTAGAAACCGTGCTCAAATTGTTACGGCAAAAGTGACGTGAAAGTTTTCAAACGATTTCGCTCCAGCGTAGAGTGAATTAGCGATGGCTTATTGTGACTTTTCTACGCTGTTCTCAAATAGCTCCGGCGTGGCGGAACACTTAACGGCTTCTTGTGACTTGCGAACACAAACACGTGGCAGGTTTTGTCGGATAATTTGCAGAAATTCACTTCGAAATTCGTTCAAGTAAAATTCGGACTGAAATTCGATGTAACTTGCGACTGATTGACAAGCGTTGCTGTGTTTACTTACATGTTAATACATTTTTTAGTATTACTGCATTCCTTAACCTCGCCCTTAATATGAAAGCCATTTCTATTTTCTAGACACGCACCTCGCAAGGAAGCTTTATTGACTATATACTAAAACAAATTGTTTTGAGTTCAGTTCACATTAACAAGAGCAACAGTTTAATAACTATTATTTTTAAACTACAGTTTAATAACTATTAACATCATTCAGAGCAACAGTTTAATAACTATTATTTTTAACACTTGAATAATGCAAACTTATATATGGCGAACGGAAACTGCAAACTATATGCGTGTCAATTTTCGACTCATTCTAAACATGCAGGATACGCTGTTACAGCGAGTTAGTTTTTGGTGGCCATGCATGCAAAAGTGGGCCGCTTATTTTGCTTACAATTCACGTGGACGTATAATTATTGCTGTTACATAAACGTTCCGGTGTTCAAGAGCTGCATATATATAGCCGATAAAAATTGCGTGCTCATTATAATCGCCGATCACATGGCTTTATCACAGTCTCAAACCTTCAGACAAACATATCCACATTCCTCTCCCCCCCCCCTTCGGACATCCTAAGACATTTTTCCTCTCCCCCCCTTCAGACATCCTAAGACATTTTTCCTCCCTCCCCCTTCGGACAGCAAAAATTTCCTCCGTGGGGGGGGGTATGGATCTTTTCTGGAACGACCCATTTACGGTTTCATAATTTTCATTGAAGGTGGGGCATTTGAACGCTTAATTTCTTGTTACAGTGGGGCATTTGAAGATATTTTTGCACGGGGTGGAGAATTTGATCAGTCAAATTTCAAAAAGTTCAAATTCCTGGGGTTGGCTGGGGGATGGTGAAGTTTCGAATTGATCGATACATAATGCACCAGTCAATGTAAATCACCATTTTTGGGTTCAATTCCCAACCACTGAGATGAGCATATTTGACTTTAGTTCTTAGCATTATACCAATAACCCAGACTGGAAAGTTTGCATTGTGCGGCCAAGATTTCGGCCATGCATTTTTTTCCTGACATGTGGCCAGACGTGCAATTTTAAATGCATTGCGCCACAGACACACAGAAATATGGAGAACGCTCAGGATGCATGCAAAAATAACTAAAAATGGATATATATATAAATCAAGCGAAATTTTACATCGGGCCGCGCAAAAATTACGGCTCTGGTTCAGCCTGGCCATGCAAATCTATCCCGGAACTACGATCTTGGCCGCATGTTTTGCAGACTTTCCAGTCTGACCGATAACAGATTGATTACTGGTTCATACTTGTGCTAGGGATGTGCCAGATACCGGCATCCGATATGTGGCAAAATATAGACATCTGCACTATCTGGTAAAAATTTGCCGGATATTGATTGCATAGTACTAGAACTTTTATGATAACCATAAAACCTTCTGTTTTGCATTAATACATTGTGAAACACAAACAACTACTTTGCCGGACATGTGACACATTAAAGTGAAATGTTTTGGTGATGTAAACTGCTCTCTGTTGCATATTGTCAGACGAGTCTTGTGCCACATGCTAAACAGACAACATTGGACTATTTATGACAAAAAGTTAGTCACATAATGTCCAAGTACCACCGTCTGATATCCATTTATTATCTATCCGTGTCCAGAAAAGCAATATCCGGCACTACCCTAACTTGTACATGTATGAACCAGTAATCTTATGATAAATATTAATGCCCAGCATAAAACACGTAAAAAGAGCCATAACAAAAATATAATTTAAAATATTTATTTGAAAGCTAACGTTTCGTCTTTAACTTGAGCAATGACATACAAAGCGGAAAACACAGAAATATGAATAAATTACAACTATTTACAAGATATTATATTACAAAAGTAGAAAGAGGAATGGATCAGAGTAGAAGTAGAGGGACCGAGCTGACCTGTAAGTTGAGAGAGGGTTTGAGTTTGTTAATGAGAAGACTTTCTCGAATGAGGAGTTCGTCTGGAGAAGAGCAACAAGAAATAATCTTAAAATCATTAAGAGAGGCGGAGTGACCAGTGCTATCAAGATGGGAAAGGATACTAGACATGGTCGGATTGCTGCTTTTACTGCCTGTTAGAGGAGATGGAAAGGATACTAGACATGGTCGGATTGCTGCTGTTACTGCCTGTCAAATAAATATTTTAAATTATATTTTTGTTATGGCTCTTTTACGTGTTTTATGCTGGGCATTAATATTTATCCTAAGATTACGATTTCCGCCTGGTTCATCTATCGCAAGTATTATGAACCAGTACTTAATCCTTCTGTAAAAAGTAATTTTAGCTTCCTATGATGATAAATCCGCTCCCTCTTCTGATTCATTGTGAGGAAAAAAGCGTAACCGGAATCGAATTTATTTCTGAGGAAGTTTGCTATTTAATTTTATCACTGCTTTTGGTTGCTACAGTATTTATATTTGTAAATTGTATGTTTTGAAACAAGCCATATACTGTATATTTAACCTTCAACATCAGAGATGATACATCGGCTGCCACTTCCATGTCAGTCAATGATGCATTACAAGAGGTGTTGAAAACTGCTTTGTGCCATGATGGATTGGCTCGAGGATTGCACGAAGCCTGCAAAGCGCTCGATAAGTAAGTAGATTGTTCAGAAAGTAATTAATTTTCAATATTCGCTTCCTGTGATGATAAATCCGCTCCCTCTTCTGAGTTAAGATGAGGACAAAAGCGTAACCGGAATCGAATTTTATTTCTGAGGAAGTTCGGTTAATTTGTCGCTTGCATGTTAACTGTTAATCTTTCAATTTCACTAATAAAACTTTAATATCTTACAGGCGACAAGCTCATCTATGTGTCTTGGCTCAGAATTGTGACGAGGGAACATATGTGAAACTTGTGGAAGCCTTGTGTGCTGAACATCAAATCAACTTGATCAAGGTTGATGATAGCAAAAAGCTTGGTGAGTGGGCTGGATTGTGCAAAATTGACAAAGAAGGAAAAGCCAGAAAAGTGGTTGGCTGCAGCTGTGTTGTTGTCAAGGTAAACACCCTCATTGCACCCTGAAAAACCCAGGTCCCTTACCATTTGTCAAGAATTGTCCTCAGAGAACATATGTAAATATTGCTTTCAAGACCATACATTTTCTGCTTTTCGAATAGCGATTAGCAGAACTTCTACTGTTAGTGTGTGTTGATTTCTTGAAGTACTTTAACTGATTTGTGAGCTCACAAGAAAATACTCCGTATCTTTATTAAATATGTAAACATGACAATGGTTGTTATACTGCCATATCTTCAAAATACTGAACTTTAACAAGGAAATTTACTGAACTGTGCTACAACAGCTGTTCAATCACGCATATGTGATAAAAAGCTGATATAAACTTTGTAAACAAAAGGTAATGTAAAATGTAACAGAATGGTGAACGTGTAGATCCGGCCATCGCAAATAATGGAAAAGTTGGAATAGTAGCATTGGGGACTTTGCAGAGGAGAATGGGCAGTAAGACTCCCTTGTGCATCTCCCTAAGATGGAAAACCTACACCCCTCTTTGCATTCTACAGAACATGACCAGTGGTTGATGAGCACCCCCTACCAGACCTGGCTGGATCCATCCCTGTTTGTACCATCACTCAAGCATTTGAAAGTAGCACTCAAAATTATAAACTCAAAGGCTTCTAAATAGCCCGTATTGGGTATATTACTATAAGAGTTCTACAGTGATATCTAAAGCTGTGTTCCTTTGTTCTGTAGGATTATGGTAAAGAAACCCATGCTCATGATGTGTTGATGGAGTACTTCAAGTCAAAGCGTGGAACATAGTATAATTCCCACCTCAGTAATGTTTTCATGATGACATAGGAATAAAAAATAATGCAAAATTATATCTGGTCTCTCTTGCAGTGTTGGGATGGGATTATGGGAATAAGAATAGTTGGGTTGGAAAGGTTAAATATTGTCAGGTACCCATTCTCAACCATCTTAAACTATTTCAATTATATCAATTATCATAAATTATGGACGAAAAGTAGTTATACAGTCAAAAAATAATAACACGTGAAGGAGCCGTATATCAAATGTTTCACATTTGATGATGTTATTTAATGATATGTGACATTCAATGAATTGTTAACATTAGTATTATAAATATGAAAAACTAGTCGTATTATTCTGACACTGCATTAGTATTACAGCCTACGTATATACTATGTCTATATTTTTTAAATATGTGATTCAACTAAAAGACGATGCCTTCGATTGTATAGTTGCACACTATCTAATGCAAAAAGTAATAGCATTTGTTTAACAATGCAAAAAATATCATACCAGCTAGATCTACAGTGCACATAATGTGATCGTTACAGCGAATTTGTACGGCTACAGTTCCTATATACGGCGGTAAACTCCTAGGCCGTTCTGGCAGTTTGGACATGTGTGATGACAGTCTTTCAAACCATCCACGCAGAATGGAATGAGGCAGCAACCTTCCCAACACCTAAGGAAAATAGAGAGAAAGATAATTGTAATAGACCTTATGCATAATGACGTCACAAGGCTTGATGCCCGCGAGGAATGTTGGTCTTAGTAGTCATTGCTCGGGAAAATTTCAATAGTGGCCATTTTGAATTGTTTAATTTTTCCGGTCGTTGACTAATAAGACCAGCATTCCTCGCGGGCATCAAGTCTTGTGACGTCATTATATGCATAAGGTCTATTCCTTGTAAAGCATGGAAAATTCACTTTTCACGATTGTCTTTTCTGTATTGCTGTTAATTGAGAAATAGTCTGCTGTTAATGCCCTTTGTCTTGACGAATAAAATCGTCTACACGCGTAAAAACGCACAGGTCTTACAGATATGCAAACAAAGTTGCTTAAGGTTGTTGTCAAATCGATATCAGAATGTGTTCGCACTGCTTGTTCTCAGGTGTGATAATCTTGAACAACTTGTTATCACTGTGTTACAAGTTTAATAATGACGGTAACAGATTTGCTACAATTTGTTCCAGCAAGACTAATACAGGCTGTTCGTATGAGATTGCTATACGCGCTTGTTGGCATCAAATTGTTAACAACTTGTTACGTGCAGACGATATCAGACTTGTTGGAATAACTTCTTACGAGTCTGTTGGCCTCCTCAATCTTATTACAAGATAACAACTTGTTCCAGACTTGTCAACAACTGGGAACAAGCGATGCGTTCACATCCTGCTGACCTTTGCTATGTGAATTAACAAGAGCAATTGGGGAGATAGTTTGGTTAACCCCACTACTGCCGCTTTTTCATTCCCCCCTGTCCAAGAAGGATAATGTGACAATTAAGTGTGAAATATTTTGAGCAATTGAAATACGTTTTTCTCAGTCTAAATATTGTTTAAACGAAATTAGGAACGCGCTAGAAGTTACGTTATTTCAGTAGTGGAAGAAGACAATAGCATTCAACGACATTGTTTTTTTGTCTAACACATGGAATTTCATACAATTTGTAACAAGCAATTTTATTAGATCATGAAGTGCGACTTATTTCAATTGCTTAAAATACGTCACACTTCATTGAATCCCGGGTAAGCGGGACCATATAAACAGCCCCTAAGCCTACCTACCAAAGGCAAAGTACCTACCCAACAAGAGCAAGTCCACAACACAAGCCAGCCAAGTCAGAGTTCCTGGCTCATAGCTTGTACTTGTCACAATCTGTGCCTGACAATGAGGACAGATCATACCCACTGGCACAGGTCCAAGTGTTGTTGCCATGACTATTGTGGGTTGGGCAACGACAGTCGTATTGGTGGTAACATTGTGTTGAGCTGCCGGTGGATAGCCTGGATACGCCACTGCAAAATAATTGGGAAAGGTATAGTCAAGGAAAATGTTTAGTAACCTGACAAACAACTTTGGAGATTTGTTATATAATGTATAATCAGTTAGCAGGGTTCGTAGCGGTCTTTGAAATCCTTGAAAGTCTTTAAATTTGAATGCAGGTCTTTAAGGTCTTTGAAAAGTCTTTGAATTGTGTGAAAAAGCGAAGAAAGAAATTAAAAGTTTTTAAATTCTTCAGTGAGGAAATGATTATATGATTTCCTAGCTAATAAAACAGATTGATTGAAGCAAGTTTTTCGCAAATATCGACGAAAGGGCGCTTTTTAGGATGTGATTTGATTTCGCAATTTTTCGACAGCTGATTGCTCTCAAAGGGCTTTGAAAAGTCTTTGAAAATAGGCGGAAAAAATCTTTGAAAGTCTTTGAGTTTTTTTGGTCTTGGAGACTACGAACCCTGGTTAGGTCTGTTGGCCTTCTCCATCCCAGGGGCGGTGTTAGACCTGCGCCGGCCATGCCTCCACTCCCCCCCCCCCTGTCTGGCCACTTTGGTATGGATTGTCAATAGAAAAAGAGTACTTTGTCAAGGCCTGATTCCACGGGCGCTTCGGGGAAATGCGAAAAATTTTGCGCGAAATGAATTAGGTGCATGCGCGGTAAAGATAAATTAGGCTTCGCGAGAAAAAAATTCGCTGCACCAGTGAGACGAAGCCAGTTCCACTCAGTGCGAAAGCGGAAAAAGTGGGAAAATTCCATGGAATCGCTCATGTGCAGCCATCCGTATTTCGCAGACACAATTTCTCACGAAGAATTTCGCCGTCGTGGAATCAGGCCTTTATTTAAAGAAGAAGAAATATAAGAATGAGTTTATTTAAGGAAGAGTGCGAGAAAATTTTACGTTCCCTGCGGTTAAATAAACGACAGCAATTAAAAACAGGAAACGTAGCCGTAGAATAGATTAAACTAATATATTTAAAGAAGGGTGCAAACAGAGTCATTAGTATTACTCGTTAGCTTGTTTAGTAACATTTACTAATTATTACATTTATATTAGCTCGTTTTAGCCCGCCTAGCCTGAACATTTTGCGAGTTCTTCATATATTTTTTTAATTATTTTGATCCGCTTGAAAACGTATATAATTTACCGTTATAACATTTGTAGCGAATTGATAATGAAATGCCCAGCTGAGTGTCAGACTCAGAACAGTTCTCAAAACCCACCTGGTATACATTTAAACTGTTTTATATACTTGAAAAATAGGTGAAGTTGGCAGTTATTAAACGTATGACTATAAAGTATAATTGACATAGATTAATGAATAATGGTGTTAATATATAACACGGATATCATCAAATCTAGTTAATATTTATAAGACCAAACCTTGTTGAGATGCTTCGTAAGGCGGTGGCTGTGACTGTTGTTGTAATTCTGCCGTAGTATCAGGCTCCATTTTTTGTTTTGATCGATACGAATATACAGCTACAGTTGACCAATTATTTTTTTTATTATTATACATATACATTGATTTGCATACAGATAAAACACATTAAAGCAATGACGCAGACGCACTCGTTGCCAGCTCACATTTTGTTGGGGTAGAGACATGGCCTCTTAGCTTTTCAGTTTTCTTTTTTATATTATGGATGTTCAATGCAGTCAATATAAATCTTTATTTTGTGTATTTGACTTTAGTTCTTAGCATTATACCGATAACAGATTGATTACTAGTTCATACTTGTACTAGGGATGTGCCAGATTCCGATATCCGGCAAATATAGACGTCCGGCACTATCCGATAAAAATTTGCTGGATGCTGACCGCATAATACTAGAACTATTATAACCATAAAACCTGTTTTGCGTTAAGATATTGTGAATGTAAACTGCTCTCTGCTGTATATTGTCAGACAATAAATCCTTCACGCCACACAATAAACAGATGGTGGACTATTTTATGACAAAGGGTTTGACGTATTGTCCAAGTACCATCATCCATATCCAGTTTATATTATCTGGTAGACTACTATCCGGTACCATCTGCATGGTATCCAGAAAAGCAGTATCCAGCAGTATGAAGCAGTAATCCTTATTTTAAATTAGTAAAAATAGTAACAAATGCTTCACATTTGATGATGTTATTTAATGAAATGTGATATTGAATCAATTGTTAATTAAAGTGCCTATGACATGAAATTTCACCCCAAATGTTTATGGTTGCATTGTAAAGATCACTTAAAATGACTTAATAATTTCTTTTATAGAATTTTGGTAACTTGCTTCCTTTGCAAGATATTCAACTTTGTTTCATATGCAAATATCACCGGTGTGACATCACATCGCATAATGACATTTTGAAAACGCAATATTTTACCTTGATAAAATATTTTTACAAACAAATACAAAGGGTTAATTACCAGTTATGACATTAATACATATACAAGGGCAATTTTTAAGTTTTTTAGATACGTATTCGTGAAGAAAACTATACTTTTCTGAAAACTCATTATGTGATGTGATGTCACACCGGTGATATTTGCATATGAAACAATGTTGAATATCTTGAAAAGGGAGCAAGTTACCAAAATTCTATAAAAGAAATTATTAAGTCATTTTAAGTGATCTTTACAATGCAACCATAAACCTTTGGGGTGAAATTTCGTGTCATAGGCACTTTAACATCAGTGTTATAAATATGAAAACTAGTTTTATATTATTCTGACTCTGCATTAAGTATCAAAGCCTGCACTACACGTATATATACACTTTTTTTAAATATGTGATGCAACAAAGGATGATACCTTGCGCACTATTCAATGCAATAATGAATAAGTCAAAGTCACAGATTTGTCTAACAATGCAAGAACCTATTATTACTGCCCCTATAGATCGACAGTGCACATAATGTGATCATTACAGTGAATTTGTACGGCTACAGTTACTATATACGGCGGTAAACTCCTAGGAAGTTCTTGCAGTTTGGACATGTGTGACGACAGTCTTTCAAATCATCTATACAGAATGGAATGAAGCAGCAACCAAGCCAACACCTAGGGAAATGGAGGGAAAAATAGTTGCAATTCCTTGTATAAAGTATTCAAAGTTTACTTTTCACACATGTCTTTGCTGCATGTATTGCAGTTAAATGAGACATAGTCTGCTTGTTAACCCTATAAATGCCCCACTTCTCTTGATGAATAAAATCGTCTACACACATAAAAACGCACAAGTTGTTTTACAGATCTGCAAACCGATACCAGGACGTGTTTGCACTGCCGCTTAATAGACGACTTGCATGTTAGACTAATTTTTGACTTGGGAAAAAAAAAGTAAATTCCTGTAAAGAACTTACAAATATACTGAAAATATGCAAACTTCGCAAGGCCATATTTTCTGCATTTTACAACATTTTGCAACCAAATTTTGCAATTTTACTAATTTCATAATGTTCTTTTTAACTGTTGTGTTTGATTCCCTTCTCTTTACTTAGATTAAAATTTAGTCTAACATGCAAGTTGTCCATTGTACAGCTTGTTCCCAGTAGTGTTGTGACAAGTCTGAAACTCAAGTTGTTATCACCGTGTTACAAGGTTGATCGGACGGTAACAGACTTGCTACAAGTTGTTCCAACAAGATTAATATCAGGTTGCTACCAGCTTGTTGTCATCAACTTTTTAACAACTTTTATGCAGACGATATCGGACTTGTTGGAACAACTTATTGCGAGTCTGTTGGCTTCATCAATCTTATTACAAGATACTAACAACTTGTTCCAGAGTCCAGACTTGTCAATAACTGGGAACAAGCAGTGCGAATGATCCTGTTTTGTTGAGCTGACGGTGCTAAGTGGGTAACAAGAGAACGTGGATTATGGGGAGATAGTTTGGTTAATTCACGCCACTGCTGCCGCTTTTCCATTCCCTCTTGTCCAAGAAGGATGATGTGACAATTAAGTCTCTACCAAAGTACCTACCCAACAACAGCAATTCCACCACAAAACAGCCAAGTCAGCATTCCTGGCTCATAGCTTGTACTTGTCACAATCTGTGCCTGACAATGAGGACAGGTCATACCCACTGGCATAGGTCCAAACAACATTGTTGCCATGATTGGCACTACTGTGGGTTGGGCAACGATGGTCGTATTGGTGGTAACATTGTGTTGGGCTGACGGTGGATAAACCACTGCAATATAATGGGAAAAGCAGTCAAGGAAATGTTTAACCTGACAAAGAACTTTGGGGAGTTGTAATATAATTTATAATCAATTTAGGTCCGTTGGCCTGCCCCATCCTCCTCCCCCCCTGCCTGGCCCCTTTTTGATGTGGATTAATATTATCAATAGAAAGAGTACTTTTTAAGTGCGAGATAATTTTACTTGTTTAGTTCTTAGTAATATTAGGTTAACCCATTCAACTAATACAATGTTCCCTACGGTTAAATAAACGACAGCAATTAAAAACAGGAAACGACGTAGCAAAGTATACGTAGTCGTAGAATAGATCAAGTTAATATATTTGATGAAGGTCAAGAAGGGTGCAGTAGACCCTAACTTGTTTAGTAACATTTGCTAATTATTAGCTCGTTTTAGCCCGCCTATAGACACTGAGTGATCGCACAGTAAAGTAGACTAGCCTATTGCTTTTGCGTGAATTTTGCGAGTTCTTAATTTTTTAAAATGTAATTTACCCGAATTGATCATGAAATGCCCAGCTGAGTGTCAGAACAGTTCTCAAAACCCACTCGATATACATTTAACATGTGCTTTAGCTTATATATAGTTGAAAAATAAGTGAAGTTGGCAGCTAACGTATAGGCAATTGATGTTCGATAGATTAATGGCGTTAACATATATTAACCCGGATATCATGAAATGTAGTTCATATTTTTCTATATAAACTGCGATAATACGCGATAATTAATACGAAACCTTGTTGCTGAGATGCTTGGTAAGGTGGTGGCTGTTCATGTGACGATACTTGTGTTTTTGCCGTCGTATCAGGCTCCATATTTTTGTTTTGATCAACACGAATATACTGCTACGTATAGCAGTTGACAATTAATATGTATGGTATACATTAATATATTTGCATACAGATAAAAGACATTAAAGCAATGACGCAGATGCTTGGCTTCGTCACACTCGCTTCTCACATTTTGTTAGGGCAGAGTCGGACAAGGCCTCTTTTAGCTTTTCAATTTTCTTTCAGCCTTAACATTTCTCCGAGGGGGGAGGGGGCATCGAGGAAAGGGATTATCAAGGCCATGATGAACTGACAATGTTCGAACTTGTGGGGTGGGATTCTGGGGTCATTCCCACTATATATTTCATCTCTTTCATCTACACAAAGGTTTGAGCACGCGGCAGTGGCGTGCTGGCAGGGGGGGCCACGGCCCCCCCAGCTGGCAATTTTTGGGGGGCGCAAAAATGAAAAGGGGGCGCCGATCCCGCGCCGAATTTTGAAAGTAGGTGGGAAGAAACGCATTCGAAAAAATATAGTTACTAATTCCGCCAAGGAAAGATGTGTTTATAGACTTATAAACATACTAAGCGCATAGGCGACAAAGTGAGTATATTAAATTGCAGACTATTTTGTCTAACCGTATTTGCTACATCACGACTCACACGAAATCACTCGTTCATATAGAATACATGATCAGTGATCACACGCAATGTCTCATTACCGGAATATTGATCAGGCTTCGAAGCGATCACGGGAATTATGCCCTCTTTTGCTGGTATTATACCCTTATATTATGCCCTTTATTATGCTTCACGAATCACGAGAGCGGCGCAAATTAGATAGTTGAAGTTATGATAATGTAAAGTTGTGTACGCAATTTAGTTGTTTGCGCAAGAAACATTATGAGTAATGTAAGTAATGAGATAATGATGAAACACGCCCTTTTAGCAGTCAGGCAAGGAAACCTTAAAATGCATATACGTGGGGTCCGTGTGTTATCGTATAAAAGAGCTGTAAGTTGTAAATGTATTCAGATCAGTAGAGAATAGAATTGGGATTAGATTAATCGCTGGAAGTAGTTAGCATTGCCCAATTTAAGTGCTACTACTAAATTCTAACCAATTTTAAAATTTCGACACGTTGTAATGCCGTTTCCTGACCATCAGATTTCTGTCAAATCTTCCCCCAAAGTCCAGGAAATGGCAGTTCAGAGACTCTAAATTCAAAAATTTTCCTGGGGGGCATGCCCCCGGACCCCCCTAGACAAACCTCGAACCTGCGGCGCTCGGCTCGTGCCTTCGGCCCTCGTTTATCAAGGGTAATATTATAGGGGCGCATATTAGTTGCCAGCCGACTGGCCCCCCCCAGAAAAGTAGTACCCAGCACGCCACTGGCACGCGGGAATAATCAGTTAAATCACTCTTCTTTTAAACTAAGTTTAATAGTATTTCCATTTCCAAATCTTTGTCTAGCGGATGAAATATATAAAAAATTGTGTCTAAAAATGCCGAAAATCAAGCCCCAGACACTTATAAATACAAATTTTTTCTTTGGGGAGCATGCATGCTCCCGAGCTTCCATGCTATATATATATATATATATATATATATATATATATATATATATATATATATATATATATATATATATATATATATATATATATATGTGTGTGTGTGTTCCTCAAGAAAATTACCTTTTGGTTGATGTTGAATCTGTTCTTGCACTGAAGAAAACAGCGCTTTTCGCGGTGAAGGTTTAGAGGCAGTCGCATGTAAGCCTATTCGAAACACTTCGCGATTTGTAAGGCTTCGCTGAGAGAGCGAAACAGAATACGGTAATTGCCGTTTGAAACGAAACGATCTGGACGCTCTGAACGCTCTCTTCTTTTGTAGAGTTCTTTACCAAATGAAATAACTGAAATAAATTTCGACTTTCCGCCGCCAACAAGAATTGCACACACGATCTGATAAGTGAGACAATTTATTTATAACAATGGCGACAGCGAAGCACACATTAATGCTAATGTGGTCGCACGACTTCCCTCACGATTTGAAGTTTGAGACTGGTTTTCTGTTGAAATTCGTCTTAATTTGCCTGTTCCGATTTTAGTTGAAAATGAGCATTTGTAAATTTGGCAATTACTGACTGCGTTGCTTGTTTTTTTTGGAGTTTTAACACAGGCATTTACATTGTTTCTATTTTGAATATTAAAGCAGAGAAAACCCCGCAACATTTTAATGCGAGTTTGTTTGTTAATATTTGGGTTGCTGTCATTGGTTCTTTTTTGACAATTGACGCGCGAATGGGGCGTGTTATGAAAAGGGGCGTTTTACAAAATACCGGGCCTTGCTTGCAGGCCCACTATCAGTTCCCTTGGGCCTGCACGCGGGCTACACGTCTTCGAGCACTATTAATCACGCATTTACGAATCATTGAAATCGGAATATAACTGGAACGTTAACTCCAGCCGGAAAATTCGAAAGTTGGAGCCAAATTTTAACTCCAGACGCGCGAAATTTGATCTTCAAACATCTAGCGTATATACACAATACACAATACCCGTCAGTTTTTAAACCTTACACCGTAAAAAATTTGCATTGCTGCATGTGTGGTTTCTTTGATGCATGCTATTCGTGATATTCGGTTTGAATTCAATTATTCTGGAGGTCAATTTTGGTTTCTTCAGTGGTTATCTTTAGCCAATCCAGTTTTGCCGACTGAGATAACAATTTGCCGATTAGCTGACGAGTGGGGGGGGGTGTTCCACAAAAATAACTCTTGATCGTGTGGGAAGTCCTTAGGGCTCCTTAGCCCTCATTAGGCCTCCTTAGGGCTCCTTACCCCTCCTTACCCCTCCTTAGAGCCTTACCCAAATATCAAAGTCATATATATCAAAGTCAACCACGTCGGAGGTGTATTTTCGAGCTCCGCAGTTTTTATATATTTAAGTGAGCCTGACGCTGGTATTTCACTATGGATCATAATAACTATAAGCACTTCAGTATAGACGACTCTAAACTTAAGTGGAACGGTGACCTTGAACCGCTTAAGTTTTTTATCGCGAACGAATTAAACCAATCTGGAAAATGGTCTTCCCCTGGCGGCGAGGTGAAGCTGTTTACGAACGAGAATGAAGTTTCCAGTGAGGGTGAAATTGTCAAAATTAAATGGTACCAGAGTAAGAAAACCTTGTTGTTTGAAGGATCTAGAGCTAAACAGATGGAACAGGATATCTACAGTATAAAACAATCAAACTCAAGCTTCAAGGAGGGAGAAACGTGCAACAGGTTTGATACTTCAAATTCAAATTTGCATAATAACGATAAATTTGTTGAAGCGATTAATGACTTCAAGCTTCAAATTTAACAGCTTAAGGGTGTTATGGAACAAAACAAAACTGCCATAGCTAACCTTGAAACCGTATGTCAATCCTCATCGAATGATACTGCATATATTGAACTACACACACTTAGAAAAGAATACGAACTGATTTGCTCTGAAAATGCAATTCTTAAGAAAGAAAACGCCGAATACCTTGAACGCATGAACAACTTAGTCTATATTACCTCTGATTTAAATACAAAAATTAAAATACTTGAAGAGGAGAAGGCTAGCTTAGTAACCTCAGTGCGTCTCGTAAACGAGGACAAACGGCAATTAATAATTGAAGCTAAGCGCTTAGGAAATGTTTACGAACCGGAACCGTCCTCTGAAGTCTCAAACCAAACAACGCATTGCGAAAGCACACAAAATGAAAACCCCATGCACAATGAGCAACATGATAAAATAATTGAAGTGATCGAATTGGATAAAACATTCCAAGAACCGAATGGCCCGAATACAAGAAATGAAAATATGAACCCCGTTGTAGGAGTGGCTGTGTCTGGCCATCCCGACAGAACTAGTACAGATAAACAGCCTAATTCCGAATGTGCGTCTCAAAAACCTAAGAGTGTTGTCCCATGTCCATTCCTTCTCCGCCGTGGCCATTGCACTAAAGGAGTCAATTGTGACTTCTCCCATTCGAATCTGGAATCTAATAACAAAGAACATCAGATCTTTTCTAAACCCAAGCACCTGACCCCATGCCCCTTCCTAGAAAGAAAGGGAAGCTGTTTAAAAGGCGAAAAGTGCGACTTTTTTCACAAAACCACCCATTTTCAACAACGGCACTATCCCAATTATTACGAAACTCCGGCTTTTTTAGAACCGCTGGAAAGCATCAAGTCAATATTGAGACAGGTGGAAGTGGGTCTGCAGAAATTCAATATAACTCATGGAACCGGTTTCCAACAAATCCCCACTCCGATGGGTCTGAATCGATGCCCACCGACGGCGATGCCGCAAAATCGACAGCTCCTACGGCCACTAATGAGCATACCCTACCCCTATTTTTAAATGATTACACTGGCAATTATAAATCCCAACCAATTAATGTACGTCTAACTCAGAGAAAACCTTACAGAAGTCCCGTCACAACGAGTAATAGTGTCGAATTACCAATACACGTAAACACAATATATTCATGTCGAATTACCAATACACGTAAACACGACTGCAGGCAGAATGCACCTAGAAATAATTTGGTAAATATTCCGATTTTAAGACCTAGTCGTCAGAATATTAAACATACTTTACCAAATATACTGCTTTTTAATGCTAGATCTCTTTTCAACAAAATAGACGAACTGATGATTATAATTAACCAACAAAATGCGGACGTAATTATGGTTACTGAAACCTGGCTTACGGAAGTTATTCCCGATGAGGCGTTACATATTCCTGATTTTACCATAGTTAGGAAAGATAGACCAACTCGAAGAGGAGGAGGCGTGGCCGTATATATAAGAGAATCACTTCCTTTCAAAATTCGTCCAGATTTTTACAACTCGGACTATGAATGTCTGTGGATTACTCTCCGACCAAAATGGCTTCCACGAAAAATTTCAAAACTTGCACTTGCGTGTGTATACTTGCCACCGTCGATGAATACCGAAGCAGTTGAAAGTTTTTATGAATATTGTTGCTATTGTTATGATTCT